AAATTTAACAATAGGTATGAAAAGGCAAGAATGAACGGACAAGTCTTGATGTGAAAAAATGACTACAGTCAAGGGAAGTCATCAAACCTTCAAGAAAAAGAAGTTGAGGACAGGTGAAGAGAGAAAGCACAGTGGGCTTACGCACCACGCTCCTTCAAGAGGAAGATACAAAAATCACATAAAGCTGGCCTTACAAATTTCCTTATTGCTCTCTATCAAGTTTTAACTAGTTTTGACCAAAGCCACCAAGAACAGCAAGAGGTTTTAAAGTTGTTTTACCTCTCTGAACAAGAGCAATCTAAATAATTCAAACTCGTTAGAGTAAATTCCGTGATATTTGCGCCTGATTAGTCTATGAACTGCTATAGGTGCAATGTTGGGTAATAAAGGGCTATATCGGTACCAGAGAAGGGTCAAATTCATGAATGAAATTTGGAGGAAGAAGCCAGGATACCAGGATATGGTGCGCAAAAGTGTAAGTGATTGATCGGCTATATGGAAAGGGAATTGTCAGAACTTATAGGTCATTGGCTCGTGGGAAACACAGATATACAAGTTAAATAGGGACCTTCAAAATGGCTCAATGATATACAGTACATGGTGTCGACTATGGCCTGCCATGTTAGAACTGTAAAAAGGAGTCAAAATGGAATTATAAACAAGATATTACCACTTATCAAAACTTTTTGTATCCACACCAAACAAAAGCTAGGACATTGAGTCACATTCACAAGCTCAGCTAGGACTTCCTACCATCAAGGCTTCGAAAGAATTAATCCATCTTAAGACATAAAATATTGAGAGTGTAGCTTCATTTGATCAAGAAAGAAGAAAAAGAGTCATTTACAATAAAGAATTACAAATGTGTGCATCTTACTATCAATCCGGTGATAGGTCCGCAAAGCCAAATGAATGAAGAAAAGGCATGCTGGATTCCTAGTGTCTGCACCAGTAGGAAATATTATTGTTAATGAATGATTAGTTTCTAATAAGTTATATAAAAGCGTGAAGATTATCACAATAAATTAAACTAGAGAGAAGAACAATAAATCGTTACTGTCAGTGGCAATACAAGCAGTGCAGAACATTGAGTTTCTGGTATAGAAGAAACTGCAATAGATTTATGGCTGCATAAAGCAGAGCTGCCACCATATTTTCCGCTCTCTTTTCCATTACGTTTATGATTTTGTATATCTTCGTTCATATTTACTTTTTGAATTATCAATACTGTATGTATTGTTGATCAGTCAGACAATTGGGATTAGACCTAAAGCCAAATTCTAAAATTTGCTCCACAATCTCATATAAGCTTTCCGCATCCAAATTGGGTTGGCCCAAGTAACACAAATATGCAAATAAGAAAGCAATGCAAAAGGTTGGGAAAATTTTTAGATTGAAATGTACATCCTTAAGATACTAATGAATTCTTGACCAGAAAACTATGGAAAGAGAGTCTAATCATCAAATTTACTAGCTCATGTGCCTTGGTAAAACATGCAGTTTAAACTTGCGCGACTAAACATCAAACCTTCACAGAATCATTTACACCAATTTTCGCATTAATCTCTATTGTTTTGTTCATAAATGCAGGGAGGGCAAACGAAGAAGTTTTATACCAACTCAAGTAACAAAATCATACTTCTTCTCAAAGCTAAAACGTAATCCTCGATTGATTCCATCTCAACCCAAAACATCGATATAGACCTTCAACTGAGTCCAATCAATAGCTTAAACTAACCTTAAAAATGGAGGTCTCCAAATTTACATGGCATGTCTTCAAATAATTGAAAATCCTCTTCTTCATCCCTAAAAATTCACATAAAACTTTATCCACTGCCAGTAGCAGCAACAGCAACGTTTTATCCCAAATATTTGTACCCACCACATGAATCATATTTTTTCATTCAGTTCTACTATGCGCCATCTCCTCCTTTGAGTTAAATATGATCATATATTTAGTTCTTAATTCCTTCCAACCAAGTTCTTTTAGTTCTTCTTACACCATTATCCAAAATATTCTCAATCCTCGTAACAATTGCATTAAGGGGTCTCTCCATTATATATGACCAAACCATCTCAATCAATTCTCTCTGAAGAGTGATCTCCTATTTCTATCGTATTGTTATTCTAGGTATAATTTGCAAGAAATAACATTCTTTTCTGCCAAACTCGTTTTTTAGCCCCCTTTTTTTTCAAGACACCAAATTTATATGTTCCCTCACTATTCAGCAACAAAAAGGCACCAAACTTCTACCACACATGCAATCACCAAACAAAGTAAGCATCAATTCAACCAAATCAGATCAAATCAAATCAAGAACCGAGATATCTCACCTGAACGTAGGGAGTCAAAAGCGACAGCTGCAGCGCCCATCCAAACTGAACCCCAGCGCCAACCATACAACTCATCACCAGCGTCCTCAAGCCGGATCCTTTCTCCTCCCGCCGATTCTTCGACCCCGGAGAATCATACGACGGCGATGAGATCGGGATGCTCGTCGACTCGCCTCGGCCGTCTATGTCGACGAGCTCGAGCTCCGATCCCCTCTCGAGATGGTGGTAGGGGACTCGGATCGAGACGGCGTCCATGGATCTGCAATTATGAGTTGGATCGAGCACCGCATTGAGCGAGGATTTCGGAGGCTTTCGGTGATGATTTGCTTCGAATTGTCGCGAGCGGATATGAGACAGAGAGAGAGAGAGAGATTTTGGCGCGGGGGTTACGCGTCGGTGGCGTCGTGGCGATATTTGGTAATGGTTGTTGGATTGTGGATGTATGGTACCCGATAACGCGGTAATAGTTATCGGGTCGGGTTGTTGCAGACCTTTGATCCTATGATATACCCAATATAAGTGGGACCCACAAATTAAAAGACTCCGCCTTGTTGGCATCATGATTCACCATGGTTCTAAGATGTAGCATAGTGCACATGCTTCGCACGTGTACACACTTATTTTGTATTTTACATTTACTATGTTATTTATTATGTTATGTGGATGAGAAAATGAGAAAGTAATTTGAAAAAACAATAAAGATTTATATTTAACCACGGGAAAGAAGTTTTTAAGCGTTTTCACATATAATTTTATGTAAATTAGTGAAATGAGTAGTATCGTTCTAGTGAATCCATGTCAATCAAGATGGATAATCAATTGACTGGTTCATTGTTGTTGACTTTTGGGTTGAGCATGATTACAATTTTAGTTAGATTAATGTATATTCTTGCTTCATCATTATATATACCCATAGCAGCTTGAAAATTTATAAATTGATCGGGAACAAAAAATAAAATTAATTTCTAAGTACTTGAAAGAAGTTTCTAATGTTTAGCAACTGATTATTTGGTACAATCATTATATAACCCTTCTAAATTTCATTAAATTTAATTCCTCTCACAACTCTGTTTAATCTAAGCTTTAATTTATTTATTTTTTTCATCTCATTCTTAATCTTTCTTAATGGCCTTTTTACTGGACTTTCAATCCTTTCAAACTTTCGTATTTCTTGAGTAACATTTGTGCAAATATTATTAGAATGTGCTTACTACTATTCTAAACGTTATTTTTTATATATTCTTATTTTTACATGAACATACATACATGAACATAGATGCATACTCAACATGACAAAATACTATATTTAATAAAATATATAGATTATTATAGCTTTTTATAAAATATGATATAATGTAGCCGTTTCTCCCTCTCTCCTACCCTATCTATAGCTTTTATTGAAATGAATTGAATGATAGGCTTTAAAAGAAGGATTATGTTCAACAGACAAGCTTGAATCACAAAAGGTACATGCATGATAATTTTCCCTCTATGCTAATTTTAGTTCACACCTAATTAATTGTAAAATTAATTCTTTTACACTCCACACTCAACTAAAGATTAAAATAGTCTCTTACCATCAATAAGTGAATCTCTTTATAAGCACATCCCAACTTATTTTTTTCCTACTTATAAGTTAAAAATAATTAACTAAGTAAAATTTACCAAATATCATTTTGAGTTCTTACAAGTAATAAAAACCTACTTTTGAACAAAAATAAGTAGATTGCTGAACATGCTCTAAATCATGAAACCCAAACAATAAATCATGATCTAGAAACCACCCTATGAGAAACCCTGAAGCTATAATTCTTGCTGAATCCTTTTCCTGGACATCTTTCCTTGCCTCCATTTCCAAATCTCCTAACAATTCCTACAGAAAATTTTTGAGGTTGATCTTGATGCTTATTTTTAAATTATAGAAATTGTTTGGAGATACAGATAGAAGTCGTGTTTTTTTAATTAGGTACTCTAATCTAATCTTCAATCTTCACCGCTTTGGCTGGGTGTAGAAAGAAGTATATGGCCAAGACTAAATAATAGAGTAGAGTGCATAATAAAAGGATTCATAAGAGTTGACATTTGCTAGAGACTTGGAAGGGATTGATAATTAGATGGAAATTAAGGGGGTGTTTGGTTACATTTCTATAAATTATAGGAAATGTTTTCCATCCCAAATTTGATTTCCTTGTATTTCTTAAAAAATTATAGGAAAAGTTTTGAGAAGTTAAAAAGTACAAATTTTCTTATTTTTTGTATTGTGTTTGTTTGGTTCAAAACAAGAAAATGAGAAATAACTTTTGGAAAAATAGCAACATTTCCTATAATTTATAGAAATGTAACCAAACACCACCAACTTTATAGAAAAGTGAGAACTTTGTAGAAAAGAGTTAATGAGTTTTATTATTTAAATAATGAATGCGTTAGATTTCCAAGAGATTTCCTCCCATTTTAGAAGGAAATCAATTTCCATAAAATTTGGTACTTTTGGGCACTTTACAGAAAACATTTCTGTAAATTTTTTTGGAGCCAAACACAGTTTATAGAAATGTATAGAAAACTCTTAATTACATAAATGCCATGCGTCAGTACTTTTGAGAAAACATTTCTCAAAAACAATGCAACCAAACACCCCCTAATTGAATAACCCAAAGTAATACATGTCCTATCCAAGAAACTAGCAACCCTACCAATCATTTTTTAATGCTTAAATCATCCATTGATATGAAATATACTTCAATCAATTATTTTCTGCTGCCTCACATTAACACTTGACTCTCATGAATCCTCTTCTGCACTTTGAGCCAAGCAATTAACACATGGGCTTCATCTCATTGCAGGGAAATTGCTACTTTCATTTAAAAAATAATTCAATTAGGGACATAAAGGTAAAATTACTCTAGAATATGTTAAACTTAACGGAAGTTAAGAATATGAGTTAATTTTCCACATAGCCATATTCTAAAAGGGAGTTTCATCATCATTTATATTTTATTCTACCTCTACCGATACACGCACACACAAAGTATAAATTTAATTTCCTTGTTTGTTATAACTTTGTTGCTGCAACTATTCATGACAAGTCTAGTTGTCTTGTGAGGTCACAAAATTATCGGCTATGATTGCATCAAGTAATGATTGATATGATTTACTTGAATTTATATGCTTATCTTTTTCTTAAAATAATCTCACATCCTGCAATTTGGGAAAAAAGAATAAGAAAAATCAAATCTAATTCCAATTTCTTAGTTGATAATGTGATTGAGTAAAAGTTCTGGCAAACAAAGTTTAAATTGATTTGCACTACGTTATCAAATTTAAAGATGCTCTGAAAAATCAGAAATCACCATTCTTAAACAATTATCTAGAAAAGATAACTAAAAAATGAAGCATCTAATAAAATCATGGTTTAATCCTATGAAAGACGATTAATAGTTTGTGGGGAAAATAGAAAGAAAAATAAGAAGATAAAACTAAATGTCATTCAAATTTCAGATAGCAATTGAGATATCCTGTCCTTTTCTGAAAATAAAAGAAAAATTTTAAGGCAAGAAAATAATAAAATTAGAGTAATAAAATTCCATAATAAGACTAATTATATTTGTAGAGAAGTAGAAGCTCATGAATTTGAACAGCCATTTTCTCTCTTCACTACTCTAAAATGAAAACAGAGAGCGTTACGAATTAACCTTCCTCAATTGAACACATCGGAAATTTTGCGACTTCCTCTTTTCTTTTCGTTTTTCCTGATGGTGGAGGGATTTTGTGAGATGGAGTGAAGAAAGAGGAGATGATTTATAGATCGATGGGTTTGGAGGTTATGAGATGGAGGAGGTGAATGGTTTTTTAAACTAAGTGGGGAGTGTAAAAGAATTAGTTTTACAATTAATTAGGTGTGAAGTAAAAATTAGCATAGAGGGAAAACTATCATGCGTGTACCTCTTGTGGTTCAAGCATGTATGTTGAACATAACCCTTCTTTAAAAGCCACTTCAATTAATTTCAATAAAAACTATAGATAGGGGAGGAGAGAGGGAGAATGACTACATTATATCATCTTTTATTAAGAGTTATAATAATTTATACATGGTATTAAATACAGTATTTTGTCATGTTGAGTATGCATCTATGGTCATGTACGTATGTCCTATTATAAGGAGACACAAAATACATGAATACCCCATGCTATGTAATGAGCACTTTTAGAATTTCACACAAAAATTAGAGGGCATTTTTGGAAGAAAAGTTTTAACATCGTACACATTTTTAGAATAGTACTAGTATAGTGCACGTGCGTTGCACGTGGACATATTTGTTTTATGTTCTAATACTTTACACAATTCATTATTTAATCAATGGAAGAGTTTCATTTTTAATGTAATTATAACAACATTCGAGGACTTATTTGTAATTTTCTTACAATTTAGATCATATACTTCTTTCAATCTTCTTAAGATTTAAGTTTTGAACTATATAAGGGTTTATCTGTAAAAAAATATGAAGTTTCAGTATTTTTCTATAAATATATGAAATTTCAATGGTCTTTGTAAAAATTATGAAGATCCATGGATGTTTGTGAAAAAATTAAGGGTTATTTTGTGAATATTGGCAAATCATGGAATACTTAAAAGATACAATTTTTTAATCTTAAAAGACATAGTTCTATTTACTTTATAATTTAAGATAATGAATGATATTTAATAATTACTGGTAGTTTTATGTGCAAATTTAGAATATAGTTTTAACAATAGGGAGGTTATAATATACTTATTATATAAAAAAATCCCAAAAGACAAAAATTCCAAGTTTGTTCTTTGCTTTTATGTTAAGTGTGTCATGCTATTCTAGTTTATATCAATTATCTTTATTTTTGCTAATCCATTATAACAAAATAAAATTCTCACTTTCACCTTCTCTCTCTTCTATTATCATATAATTAGTAACATGTTACAAAAAATATATCTACTAAGTTCATGGATAATACAATATTTCTCTCAAATCACAATTAAGTACATAGTAATACAAAGTAAAAATTAAAAAAAAAAAAAAAAAATTTACCCCCCCCCCCCCCCCAAATTAGACCTCAAACTTTAGTCTCAATCCGAATTCTTCACATTTCCTTGTATCAATCGTATCCTCAATCCGCATATAGCCGTCAGTCTAACAATCACATTAGTATAAAGTATAATCAGAGTAAAGCTCAGTACTTCCTCAGCACAACTCCAATCATGTTCACCGCCTTTGTCGTTATCTCTTCTGAAGGGATAATGTTTTCACTGGCTAGCTTGTATCATCCAAATAATATCATAGTAAAGCCATGGGGTGAGTATATGATGCTGTTAGGGTTGTAAGAGGTGAGTGTAAATCTAAATCATCAAATGAGTGAATTTATATATGTTGCAAGTAAGG